TGGAGATAAGAATCAAGCTGCTCTGCAAGACTCATGTTTTCTGGGAGGCCATGGAAGTGGAGCAACCACTGGACAGACAGGAGCATTCCTTCAGGCAAGAGGAACCCACCACAGCCCCGGGAGAGCATGAAACCTTGGGTGTCCTCCACCCGTCCTCCTCCTAAGTGAAGAATATACAGACAATTTTGCCTAGAAACATGTGAGATCTTCTAAGGATGAAATAAACCGTTTTCCTGTTGGAAAATTAGAGTTTTGAGATAACAAGATTTTGGTAACATCCATTTGGCAGTTTTCCATTAGGAAGCATCACGGGTTCTGTGCTTTTGGGCTCTCTACATCTTCCTTGCTTTCTGATTCGTGCCACGGGGCAGCACCTCCTGTCCCTGGGCTCTGGCGGCGCCTCTCCTGTGTCACCACCTAGGAGACACGGGACAGCGAGGAGAAGGAGGCTCCAGGCCACAGGTTGGCCACCTGCCTAAAGCAGATTCTGGTGCTGACCTGGAGCACGTCAGCACAGCTTGCTCTCCATAATCCATATCACCTCTGAAGTTCATTAAATAAGTAGAAAGCAGACCACTTGCAAATTCCCATAATGTTGTCCATAGATGGGGTAGGAGGGCTTTCCCTCTCTCCACACCACCTTCAAAACCCCTCAGGATGCTGAAAAGCAAATTGCAACCCCCTGAAAAGGTTCAGCTGAGCCTTCCTAATTGCTACAGCAGGGAAAGGGTTACTCAGGAGCTACAGGAGGCCATCTGGGTCCCTTCACTCACCTTTGCCCAGTGATGTCCAACAGCACCCACAGGGCACAGGCACTGTGGACTAGAGGCCACTACCACAACCCCATGTCCTCCTGGTCCCCCTGTTATCTTGCTGTGGGGTTCTCAGGAAGGCCAAGGGCCACTTGTGTCCTGGACATGTTTGTCAGATGTTCTCCTAGACCGGGAGCGTGGTGGAGCTTGAGGAAAAAGCTGTTGACTCCTCACAGGGCACGGTGACACCTGTGCTGATGTTCTCCTCTCGGTGGGGAGTCACTGCCTGCAGGCAGTCAGCCACAGTGGAAAAACATCCAGGCTTTTGGAGATGCTGCTTGCTCTGCTTTCCCTTTTCCTACCCTCTCCAGTTTTCCCTCCTTGCTCTTGCAGCTGCAGGACAGAGTGCTGATGAGAGAGGATTAGGTCCAACCCTAGTTAGTCATTTCCCAGTATTTAGTTTGGGTTACCAGAGAAAGGAGACCAATGTTTTCTCAGGTTGCCGTTGAGATTCCCAACCACAAGTATGACAGGGAAAACAGGCGACGCCGGTACTGGGCCACACAAAAGTGGGGCAGTCCTCTGCTCTGGGCTGGGAGACAGTGTCCCGCTGCCTACAGCACTTCTCTAGCACCCGAAACACCCAGGGAACATGGGATCCCACACCTTTGGTGCCTGACCCAATCCCTACCAACGCTCCCATTGCGTACCGGGATGTTTAATTTCTGCGTTGCCCATGATAATACTGCCTGCAGGCACGCACACGCTGCCTCCTATCAGTCATCGTGGGGCTGACAAATGATCAAAACCATTTGATGCTGCTGACGTTTCATTATTTGTCATGCAAAGTTCCTCGAGGCTCTGCTGCCTGGGCCCTATGAGCAATATCACCCTCTAACCACTGCAGTATGGCATAGCTCAGTTTAACTTCATGACGTTCCCAGCGTTGGGGTGGTCCGAATGCCCCGTTTGTCGGGGGAAAACACTGGGCTCTGGGTACAAAGGAGAGTAAGGTGCTCCACAAGCACATCAAAGGACAAAATTTTTGGCATGGGAGGAACAGAAAGAGTGATGTGCAAGAGGAACCTCACTGTGCATTTCAGGTGGCATCCTTCAGCTCCACAGCAGGGATTCAGGCCACACAACTGCCCATGCCTCTGAACACAGGGTTGTGTCTGAGCCTTTTGTCACAAAGCTAACAGAGAGAGGTTGCTTGGTCACGACCTAAGCCTGACATGACAGGTGGCCCTCTGAGGTGCTGGTTTGCTCCCGTTGATTCAAGAGGGAACCTGGAGGACGAGTGGAGATAGATGAACACACAGCTGTAGTGGGATGAAGCTCATCCTGCCATTCATGACACCTTCATGCTAGCTCCCCACCTGCAAGTTGGGGACGACAGGGCTTACCTTCCCATGTCTGTTTCTCCTCTCTTTTGAACCCTTTGGAGCACAGGTTGCCTCTCCCCACCATCCTGGCCTGAACTCTGTGCAATGAGGCTGTGCTCTCAGCTGGGATGCTCCTGTGAGAAATGTTCTGTGGCAGCAAATAAATTCAAATCCAGTGCAAAAGCCCATCGTGTAAGAGACTATTGCACCTCATAGGTCACCCTTGGTTCAGCAGCAATGCCCCGGATCAGCCCTTTTTTAGGGGGGAGAGGGGGTGGTGGTAAACTAAGCTGGATGATGAAACCCAGACTGGACTTGATGGGTAATTGCAGGCTCTGAAAAATCAGTGCTGCAAATGTATCATGGGTGGCTGGTTGAAACACTTCCCGGACAGATGCATGGGCTATACCATACGTTTTGATTAGTTCACTGTGGTTGGTTTTGGCTTCAGCAGGGTCCTAGATCCCTGTGGTCCCTCATCAGAGATGGCAAAGCCACGAGGTCATCCAAACACTCTTCTCACCATGGGACTCGGCAAGCAAGGTCTTGCTCTACGTATTCACCTAGGCAGAGCTTGGGCACCAGGGCTTCTCCTTTTCCTGTTGGTATCATAAAAATATACGAATGAAAAAAAGTTCAAACGAGCCCTAAATAAAAGGCCTGTGTTGACTAGAGCACATTTCCATGTGGAAAAAACTGGAAGAAAGGGTTGAACAATTTTTATTTTTTTTTTCAGTCTGGAAGTCCTCAAGGTGCACTGTTTTTTTTTTCCCCCTCTCCAAATAATTTAGTGTGTGTCTCAGTGTGTTTGACCCAGCCCAAGCATTCCTCTTGGAGTGCAACACAAGTCATTGGGAAATGCTGGGGATGGTGGAGATGTACGTTATATACAGGAAATTTAGTGCCAGTCCTGTGACACGAAGAATATTTATGGTTTTGCTATTGGGAAGCCACATTTTACATTTTATTGACTTGAGTCCCCGACCCGCAATGAAGTTTAGTAGTTCAACTGCAGAAATGTGGTGGGCAGGGAGGGCTATACAATTAATACAGCATTACTACGGCACTGGGAAATGTGTGTGGGGGTTTGCCTAGGAGCAGCCTCTTTGCACCACCGACATAGCAGAAGCAAAGACACGCTAGCTGAAAGAAGAGGCAATGCAGTAAAATGGCTTTTCAGGGTATTTAAAAAAAAAAAAAAATCTATTGGTTTGGGATGCCACTTTCCAGAAAGCATTGTGCCTGTGCATCGCTGTCCTCGCTTCTCTCCCCCAGCACGCTCCCCTTGCTAACACGGGCTTTGAGGCTGCCCCTTGGGAAAGGCAGCTGCAAGGAAAGCAGGATTTCACGCTTGGCTTTTTGCACGTGCTCCCCTGCTTGACAAGTCCCGTTGTTTCCCCCCACAAACACACACACACGCGCATAGGAAAGCTTTTATCAACAACTGTGTCAGGAAGCAGGGAGCTCTGCAGCTGAGCAGCGGGTTGCTTGGCTTTACCCCGAGCAAATGGGTCAATATTTGGCTCGTGTGTATGCATCCCCCTTAGGCCACTGAAACATGCCCTGTAGTGCAATTTGGCAGGCTCTGAAGAGGTCCAGCTTGGTTATGGTAGCTCAAAGCATTGCCTTTCTGGACGGCAGCATTTATTATCCCCCCCTCACCCCCCAAAATTACTCCATATATCTTCTCAAGGTGATCGGATGGAGCTCTGGTCTAATCAGACAGTTTCCCCCCTTTTATCTCTCCCCGATCTGTCCAAGCAGCTCTGGAGTCCGTCAGTCCCGTGACATCATACCTTGGCACAGCCCGGCCTGTTTGCTTTTTGCCAGGATGAATCCTGTAAACACTCACAAGAAATCTCCGTGGGCCCTGGGGGAAGCACTGGTTTTTTCCTCCTCCCCCCCAAGAGAAACGGCCCGTCCTTCACGGCTCACATGGGATGCCGGGGAGGGAGAGGAGGAAACGGAGGCTGAAGGGGAAGCAGGAGGAAGGTCGGGGATGGAGGACCGCGCCGCGGTTTTTCCTGGAACGATGGAGCGGCGAGGACAACCTCGCTAACTACAGAAAATAAACAAGCCCCGGGATGAAGGAGCCAGTTGGGTTCTCTGCCAGTCACTTGATATTTTTTTTTTTTAATCTTGTATTTTGCTCTGTTTGTTGATGCGTTTGTTGAAAAGGCTTTTCCTTGATGTGTCAGAAGTACTGCAAAGCATGGGGCAGCCAACACCCAGCTGGGACCGACCCTAACCTGGCAGACTTGGTCTGGTTACTTAAGCAAATGAGGCTTTTGGGATTAACGAGGCATGTATCTGTCTGGTTGTTTCCTTTCCCCTGCCCTCCCGATAACTTCTGAGCCCATTCCTTGTTTGCAGACTAACCTAAATGAGAGCAGTCATCTCGGAGAGATTAAGTTTCTGAAAGTTTCTTGAAAATGCTCCGGCAGATGGATGGGCGCCCTTAAGGCATGCGGAGCCGGGGGGGGCTGGCTGCAGCCTGAGCCCAGCCCAGCTTACCCCAGCATGGCAAAAGCCACCCGCTGAGGAAACGGGAGCCCACCAAGGGCTTGCAGGATGCTCAGAGCAATGTGGGGGGAGGAGGTGGCCCACCGATACCTCATCCCAGCCACGCTGATGCTTCCATGTGATGCCAAACCATGCGTCACGGTTAACAAGCCGGGAACCGCAGCCCGATGCCGGTGAGAATTTTAGTCCATATGATCCACCCGTGGGAGTTTCCTCACCTCAAGTCTCCTGGAGCTGGAGAGACCCCAGGGACACCTATGGGGTCGTTGCTTTGAGCTGCCATCCCTCCCAAGCCTTGCACATCCCTCAATGGAGAGAGGGAAAGGGAAAAAACCCAAACTCCTAAGCACCATAAAGATTTTATTATAAACAAACCTCCAACAGCACGTTGCGAGCCAGGATGATTAACATTCCTTAACGAAGAAGGTGGGGGTGGAGCAGGAGCTGGGGGAGGGGAGACACAACACCCTTCTGCGGGTCCCACCTTCCCACCTAATCCCCCCTGTTGCCATCTGGCAGATTTACTGGCCCCGGTAACGTCGCTCCCACTGATATAATGAGGAATTGCAGGCTGTGCTATATTTCCTCATGAATTTACCTTCCCTGCCAGAAAAGTTCAGGGCTGGGTCAGTCTTTTATATATATATTCATGTATATAATATATATATACATATATAAACATATATATTTTTTTCTTTTTTCCAAGCGATTTCCACCTTTCCCCATCTAAGGACCCATTCATCCTCATCTTCCCTACTCACAGGGGTTTTTTTAACTCTTTGACTGGGTTGGGTTAAAGAAAATAATTGAAGGACCAAAGCCCACAGCCAACCCCTCCAGGGTGGGCATGCTCCACGGTGCTGCTTTCCACGGGTGCTGGGGGGGCTATGGCAGACAACCTGCACCACAGGACCACCGAGCCGGGTGGCCAGCTTGCCCTCACCCCGCTTCCAGCTGGGGAATGCTAATTCAATCAAGCTCAGCCCTGGCTGAAAGGGCTGAAAAGAAGAGGCGGGTGGTTTGGACTTCAAACGGTCCTGTCCCTCCTCCCCCACCGCAGGCATGGACTGCCTTCACAGGGTCACGATCAGAAAGGGATGTGCACCGGCATCCTAAATCACTGGTCTCCAAGCTTCTGCGGCACTGATTTATCTCATGCCTACATGCACCGCCCCGTCTCGAGGCAGGATGCTGAGAAGCAGAGGTGGGAGGTTTAGAGGGGTACCCATCACCACACACCTGTCTCTCCTCCCAGGGATGGGTCCACGTTAGTGCTGGAGAAGGGGCAGCCTCTGGGGACCAGCCGCGACAGGGACCTCAGAGGAATGAAACCACAGCAGAAAAAAAGAAAAATCATCTGCTCCGAGCCAGGTATGGACTTGGTCCCCACCACTGCTGCCTGTGCTCGGAGCTGTGCTTGCTGCTGGGAAGAGAGGGGGAGAAATGAGTTTTTCTCTCTCTGTTGAGATGATGGGATGAGGACACAGCTGCCCCGGGCAGACAACAAGCACTGAACCCCCTGAGCACAAAGTGACAAAATGCCTTCGAGCAGCTGCGTGTTGCACAACCTGAGCCCTGGCACTGGTGCTCTTTCATCTCCGGCTCAGATGCGTGGCTTTGCAGTCCCATTTCATCCGTCTCATAGGAGAAAATCACACACAAACAGGTGGAAATCCCTTTTTCCCTCATCCCATATTCAAACCGTGTATCCCTCCTTCAGCTTTGCTGCACCTACCTCAAATCTTCCTTCCTTTTGCAAACACATTTCCCTTGAAGCTGCAATTGTTTTTTGGAGAAGCAACTGTCCCGGCCAAGAGTTCAGGAAATAACCACATCCCATGGATTAAAACCCACCTGAAGAGCAGAGCTGCATTCTCTGGACGGCACCAGGCTGCTAAACCCAGCAGCACGTGTGCAGGGATGGGCTCGGCTTCATTGTTCACATCCCTCCTGCACAAAGCATGGCCATGGCCAAGCTGTCCTCCTGCAGTAAGAGGCCACCAAGCCCTTTCTTTTAGGACAAGAAGCCCTAAAATGCATTTCTAGGTGAATTTTGTAATGAAGAAAGGCTCCTAGAGCTACCACTTTTGAAGGACTCTCTTTTTTTGTTTAGCTAGAAGTCTGGCAGGAGCTGGCAGTACAGGCATCTCTCCTGCTGCCTAGAGGTTTTAGAATGTTGATTCTGGGCACAGACTGTGGAGGAACATGTCACCTCCTGCTGATTAAGGGTTTCCTGGGTCCTTTCTGTAGATCACCCTGTTTTATAACCAAGAATTGCTGTTCTGCAAGGAAGGCAGTCAAAATCTGGGAGAAGGTGAAGCCCACGCACACACAGGCAGGCACTTGAGGCCGGGTATCCAGGGTAGCTCCCACCCTACCCCAGGGTGCAAGGGGGTCCAGACGGCCTCACGTAGCCCTGTTTCATATGACCCAGGGGCTCATGGAAAATTTCAGATGTAATACCCACGGGTTTCCTCTCTGCCTGCTCAGACTGAACTGTACCGGCCCGCTGAAGGGATGCACACTTTACCCACAGGACCTTCCCATGGGAAAACAGGTTGTCTGGACACAGAGAGGTTTTTGAACCTGAATTTCAGCAGTCTTCCTCTTTTAGCTCTCAAGGAAAAGCAAGACTGTCATGACTGCCAAATGGCAGTGGCTTCACAAGGGCGCTGGTTTCCCGTGACTGGTGTTAGAGGAACCCTTACTGGCTGGTATCTTCCAGCCCTGCCTACTAAACTCTTTCCTATCAGCTTTACACCAGAGGTGATTTGGAGCCGCAACTTTGTGTTGTGGCCTGTGCCAGGGAGATGGCTCGCTTTCCCTCCTTGCAGCTGGGAGACCTGGTGGAGCCGGTCTGAAGAGACTCCTTCACCTAGGAGGAACGGCAACCACCAGCACCTCTTTTCCTCAGCTGAGGCAACGCGGCCGGGCCGTCTGCATCCTGCTCCTTGAGGCACCCCGAATAGCCCCACACCCCCTGCCAATCCAAACTGCGAGGAGGACCTCCGTCCCATCACCAGTTCGACCTTGAACGCGTGGCCAAGACGCACCGAAGTGGAGGTTTTCAGCATCCCAAGGAGAAGCAGCGTGTCCCCGGTACGGAGCTTTGGTACCACCAGAAAATCCTGAGAGAGGGATGAAGGATGCCTGTCACAGCTCTGGTAAAGCGGGGGTAAGGCAGGAGAGCTGAGGAACAGGACAGGGACGTGCCCTCTCAGCGGCAGGAGGGGAAATGAGAGACTTGCGTTTCTGGCTGATCCCATGCTGGCCCGTATTTTCATGAACACATTTTTCAACCGCGGAAACCTGGATCGCACCCTTTAGGAGGGGAAGGAAAGGACTTGCTGTACTCGAGGCACTCCAGCTCCTTCATGAGAGGGGTTGTCAGGCCGTTTTTAAGACGCTCTTGTTAAATACGAGGCTGTTGCCCCGAAAGAACTACCGGAGCCTTTGCCTCTCCTAACACCGTCCCCAAACAAGCCACACACCTTCTCACCAGCGGCTGTCTCTAAGCTGCCTTTTTCCCACAGTTTCAGAGTTTTACGGTCAGCATTCCTCATTTTCCATGTCATTAATCTCCGTGGGCCCCGGCTCCAAGCAGGCTGGAAGCCAAATCCTGCCAGACAGGTTCCAAGTGAAATCCAAGTTGTCTGGAAAAGAAGAAAATTCACCTAAAAATTTGAAAAGCACGTGAACTGTATACTGGCTCTCACCAACTGCCCAACAGGGCAAGTGTGAGGCTGCTCAAGCCAACAGATGGTTTTGGCGGCAGTCAATGTGCCTTTTCCCTTTCCACTTGACTTTTCCAGCAACCTTGGAATATGAAGGGTTTGTTTGAGTATTGAATCTTATCTTTGATTTTGCCCAAGATAAAAAAACAAACCAAAAAATAAACAAACGAACCCAACCAAAACTGGGAGATTATTTTTAAGTTTCTCAAGAAATATTTTCTTGCTTTGATAGCCGCCATTGTGCACTGTCAGCCAATGCATTTTTCACAGCATTTTTGCAGTGATTTTTAATTTCCTCTGTTTGGCGTTTGAGCTGCTCTGCTCTGAAACTCCAATTTCCCAAGGTCCCAAAGCTGAGGATGAGTCAGGCAAAACCCCTTTCAGACAGGGGCAAGGGGAAAAAAGAAACTTGTCCTGAGGCAGGACAGGGGAGATGAGGCAAGAGCAAAAACTCTCTTACCTGGACATCTCCAGAGGTGTCCTACTGCCTTCAACACCAGCCCTCTTCCCAATTTCTGCGGGTTGCCCATGCAATTTGTCTCTGTTCAACATTGACCTTCAATTCTCCTGCAAGCTGCCGGTGACTTGCAGCTTGCTTTTTTTTTTTTTTTTTTTATTTTTTTTTTTTTAGCAATTACTCTACATTTGAGATATTTAGACAGGAGGTCTGCCTGTTTTTGGGAGGTCATTTGCTCTCAGAGTCGTCTCCGCAGCATCTTCACGCCGATGGGGTGGCCCTCAGAGTTTTGGAGTGGGCTTTGCTCCGACAGCCTGGCTGGCAACGCCCGCTCCCCTTGGGCGAGGGCTGTGCGAGCTACCTGCCAGCCGCCCTGCCAGTGAACTCAGAAAAAAAAAAAAAAAAAAAAATCAAGGCGCCGTCTTTCTTGTCTAAGGGGAGGTTGGGAGCCACGAAGTTGCGTGTTTGTGTGTTATTTTCCTCCCTCCAGAAACACATGCCAGCACGGTTTAACTAGAGGAGCTGCGTGGCGCTGCACCAGGAATAAATTGCTAAACAGACCAGCAGCACCAGCACGTTAAGCCGGGATCCTTAGGAACAAGGGCTCTGACAGCCCGTGGCGTGATCCATCGTGCCTCCGCGCCAGCTCTCTCAGAGAGTGAATCCGAGATGTGCTTCGGAGGAGCCCTAATGAAATCTGCAGATACTTTACCGCTCTGGTTGGATTGCTCTTCCTTCCCTCCCCCCTCCAAACCTCTTCAAAACAGAGCTTGGAAGCAGTCTGGGATACTTAAGTCCTAAGTCCTGCCTTTCTCGACTCACAAAGGGAACCAAAAGGAATTGTTTTGAAATAACAGTGCAAATCAAATTACCCGTCGCAGATAAGGGGGAGAGAGGTCAAATATGAAAAGGCTTTAGATGAAAGAAGAATTAGCCTGCAACCCGCAAGGAATAACTCAATTCAAGTCTCATTTTCAGCACCCCCAGAATCTGGCGCAACAGAGGTCCCTAATGAAGCCCAACAGATAAACCTGGCCAAGCCAATTTGTTATACCGCCGAACACAGAGCCATTTCACCAACCACATGCTAAGCATCAGCCGTCCCCTACAACGGGAAAAGTATATCAACATATTAGAAGCCATCATCAATCAGCCCAGAGGAAACCAAGCAGCCCTGATCAGGTTCCAGCCAGAGCTATGGGAAGCCACTCTGTGGTTTGAGTTTGCAGATATTCGGCAGCATCGTGCGCACCTCCTCTTCCTCCTCCTCCTCCTCCTCCTCCTCCTCCTCCTCCTCCTCCTCCTCCTCCTCCTCCTCCTCCTCCTCCTCCTCCTCCTCCTCCTCCTCCTCCTCCTCCTCCTCCTCCTCCTCCTCCTCCTCCTCCTCCTCCTCCTGCCAAGCTGCATCCCTGGGAGGTGGGCTTGGGGACCTGGCTGCCCCAGCCTGCAGACATCCCCGTGGCACCGGGGCTGAAAAGAGCTGGGGTTGGAAGGGGGGGGGGTGTGGGTGGCTTTGCAGCCCCTCTCCCCTTGGCTGCACCAGCGCTCACCCGGCGCTCCCCAGGCTTGGCAGGGTTATTGATGGGCTTGGGACACGCCCGGGGCTCTCTCGGCGGAGCAGTTCCACCGTCTCCGCTTCAACTTTCCTCCCCTTTCACCGAAAAAAAAAAAGTTCTCTCCACCTTTCCCAAAGACATATTTTATCCCCGCTTTGGTCGCAATCTTCCTTCTCCCGGAGCTCAGAGAAAAACAATTTGAGACCAGACCCAGCGCAGCCCTACCAAGGCTGGGCTTGGCTTGGAAGCCAGGCGGGGACCCTCATCAGCGCCGAGACCCACCTCCTGGATAAACAGGCTCCAGAAATTCCTGTCGCTCACCACCGAATGAACCCAGCCAGCTAAAAGGCGGTTGCTAAGCTTGAGCTGGCTGTATTATTCACGGGGATTGGGGAGGATTTCAGAAATTGCTCTTTACAGTGGGGAAGGAGTGCTTTTACTTTTTTTTTTTTCCTCCCCCCCCCCCCCCCCCCCCCCCCTTTTCCTTCTTCAAACTAAACCATGCAACTGAAGACTGAAATTCTGAAAGCTTGCTCAAGGATCCTGGCCATTTAATTACCTTTAAAGCACAGAAATTGCTCCCCATTCCCTTCCTGATTTAACAGGAAACAGGTCTCCTGTTCCTGCAGGCCTTCTGAAACTGTTGACCGTTTGATAATCGTGCCTTGATAGTGCACAAGTACAAATGCATGATGCTGTCCATACCCACACCCCCCTAAGCACAGTAAAAAATGCTTATTTATTTTTTTCTCCAAATTGCATTGCATTTGCAGAGTCCAAACATTTCCCCCTTGGAGCAGGGGAATGAATTGATGAAAAAATAGATGAAAACAACTCAGAAGACCCATAATAAAGCAGATGAAGAGCACCTGTGTGTGGCTGGCGCACACCAAGGCTCTGTCTGTGTTATCAGAGCTGGACAGGAAGAAATCTCCCCACCGCTGGCATGCATGCAGTGCAGGAGTGAACTTTTGGGGTGGTTTTGTTTATCCCCCCCAGCACACTCCATTCAGAGGAGCAGCAGCCTGGCCAGGTAGGGAGGCCCTGCAGTAGGGAAGCAACGTGTGCCACCACCTTTTTTCAGGACCTGTCCCGCTGCATCCTGTTATTGCTAGTGGGGCATTTGATGTGCTTTAAATGTGGAGAGGGAAGGGAGGTTCGCTTTTACCCGGGGGGTGTTTCTTGCGTGGAGGCTGGGAGATGCAAAGCAGAAGCAATGGCTCGGCCAGGAGGGCAGCCCCGAGCTGCTGCAGCCAGCCGAGACCGGGGCCTCACTGCAGGCAGCCTTGCTCCTCCCCGTGCTCATCCTCCGGGCCCTGCTTCATCTCCAGCCCCATCTGTTTTCCTTTCAGAGATAAAAATCTGTTTGGTTTTTTTTTTTTGGTTTTTCTTTTTTTTTTTTTTTTTAAGCTGGAATCATGCAGCGTGCTGCCCACTCCTCCGGGAGGGGCTGCCCAGGATGCTCAGGGCCCAGCTCCCCGTGCAGGTGACCGGGATGGCCAACATCGTGATTCCCCCCCGTTCCCCCCCCAGCCCTGAACCAAACCCCACGGTTTTTTAGAAGCAAAGCGCACGTCGGCCGCGTGCTGCTGCCCAGAGCCGGGGGACCCACGGGGGGTGATGCCAGCCCCGCACCGCTGCTGCCGTGGCCGCTGTGCCCCCCTCAGGATGGTCCCAGAGGAGAAGCCGGTCCCGTGGCTGCAGCTGGGGTTGTTTCTGCTCTAGCCCCTAGTTTTTTGGGCACTCTCAGGTTTGGGTAGCGTAAGAGAGTTCAAGAAACAAATCCAAGCCCTGTGCAACCTCCTCCCTGGTGTCTTCCCAGACTTCCACGTCATTATAATCACACAGAAATCCCATGGTCCAACCCGATAAGACCCTCAGTAAACACAGAGATGATCCCTTTTTGCTCAGAGTCTGTAATAAGTTCTTCTAGATTTGCTTCGTCCCTGCTGAAGCCTTTCATTAGCACAGCCTGTGAGACACTATTTGCTCAGCCATGATATATGAATATATTCTCAGTCCTTGGCAGGAACTCTTTTTGCTAAGTTATGCTGTTGTAAAAAAGGCAGACTGTGACTTCCCCACAACCTATA